GGAATTTTCCCCTTCATCTCATCCTGCAGAGCTGAAGGGGGGCCAAGAGAAGGGGAAGAAAGAAGTGAACAGGTCCCAGTTATTCCACTGGGCCCTGCCCTACAAATCTTCCTCATTCCCATGCCTCCAACACAGGGGGAAGGGGTGATACCAAGATCCTCCACCCATAGCCAGGCCTCAATGCTGTCTAGTTCCCAAGCCCCAACATTTTCTTCACCCTGGTATTTAGGGGTTACTCACCCTTTTAGTTCAGAGCTCTAGAGAAATGTACACATCCCTCCCCTGTGTGGATCAAAGGAACTGGACAGAAATATAAATCTCAGTCCCCAGCTCCCTTTCTCATGCTCTTGCCCAGCAAAGCCCGGGGCTGATAGGATGCTCCTGCTCCCCCAGTACAAAGGAAACAGACACTACACACCCTGCACATGCTGGATCTGGCATTTCCCCAGTACCTGGCAAGTCCAGCACAGCTGAGTCTGCCCCCCCACCAGCCATTTCCTCTTCAGTACACCAGCAGAAAGAGGCAGGTTCAGGGACACAGGACCCACATCCGGGTGGTTGGCGGGGGGAGAAAAATGGAGGCAGGAGGAGAAGCTGTATGGGGTGGGGTGGGGTAGGCTGCTGGAGAGAGATGGGAGCAGTGGGAGGGAGGTGACCGGCAACCTTAGCCATCTGCCCTGACACACTCACCTATCCCCTACTTAGAGTCACCTTCACCCACGATATTGCCTACTCCCCACCTCAATGAGACTGGCAAAGGAGATGCAGGAGAGGGACAGGGGAGCACACACAACAGCAGAGGGGAAGCCCAGGTGGGGTTTACAATGCTTAGGTGGAAGTGCAAGCTCCAGCCTGTTCCACATCAGTGGCTCCTCATCCCACAGCCTCAGCAGGCTTGAACATGATTCCCAGATGTGGAAGCATTGCAGCCTGTACACTGCTCAGGTACAGACAGTGAAAAACAACCAGGAATGACAGTGTGGCCTCCTAGCATTAGCATAACCTGGGCCAACCTCTCTTCCTGCAGGCTTTTCTGGGGATTTTGTGCTTTGCCTGGCATTTCATCCCACCTACAATAATGGGGGGAACTGGGGGCTGCATGCCCAGGAGCAGCAATAGACACCTGGGCTAGATACAGACAGTCAAAAAGCCTGAGGCTGAATCAATTCAATCTGTGTGGGTTACTCTAAACTGCACAGATTAAACTGAAACAGACTTTTACCTTTGATTCAGGAAATGTAGCCACATGCCTGCAATGGCTTAGGCCAGAAGCCAGGGGTGCTAGAGCATAGCTGTCTTGTTGTGTGTTCAGTTCCTCTTCCTGCTGCCCCTGAGGACTCTGGGATTTGCAGTCCAGAATTACAGCAGCAGGACTCTGCAGGGTTGCTCATCACTTCCTCTTCCTGCTTACAGATGCCTCTGGGATTTGTAGTTCACAGTTGCAGCTAGCAGTAAATATGAGTGGGGGAAAGGAGTGTTTAACCCCTCTCCCTGCCCTAGACCCCAGCCAGGGTTTGCCTGGAGGGGGTAGTTCACCTGCTAGACTGGGCTGCATCCCCAGCTGGGCTTGCTTCCCTTCACATCTCCTTGTCAGCTAGCCTTCACTACTCCAGCTAGGGAGCAAAAGAATAGAGCCAGCCCAGCTCTCTGGAGCAGACAGCCCAGCCCAGGGCTGCAAAGCATGGTGGGATGTTAGGGGACTATGATTTAACTTGAACCAGGAAGGGGTCTGAGACAGAAGTTTCGTAAGCTGGTTTGACTCAAATCAGTTAAGTCTGATCCTACATTCAACCAGATTTATCTTAAACCAGTTTCAGCCATTTTGAAACTGGTTTATGTGCATTGAACTTCTGTTCTGTTCCAGGTTTAAATTAGTTTCTCATCTCTTAAACTGGTTTATGTGTAACTTCTGTTCCTAGCTATGCAGTCCCTCTCTCTCCAAGATGCTTTCTTTTCTGAAGAAGTTTTGACTCAAAACTAGCTGTACGATATGATGGGGCACTTTGGCAGTTCCCAGAGCCCATTCCAGGTGGGCTGCATCAGGGCTGTTGTGTAGGAGTTGAAGCATTGGTATTTGGCTCAATTAAGTCATGAGAGAGGAGGCACAACCTGATTCTTTGACAAAAAAGTAACCATACATTCAAGAAGATTCTCTCTGCATCGATTTAAAAAATAAAACAGTCTGTCAGACAAGCAGCTGAAGTTGCCCTCTGCAGACTGTCATGCATTGCTCTACAGATGGAAATCAGCACTTTCCCTGGCCAATTTTTAACCATGGTAACACTGTTTACTTGGGAGAGAAGGAGTGCCTCTCCAAGCCAATGAATGCAATGGAACCAGAATCAGTCAAATGGCATGGCAGACTTGGTGGAGAGTAGCCTGCAGCTGCCTCAAATCTTGCTGTTTGTCTTTCATTAGCTGCAGCGGAACATGGCAGCAGGTACAGGCACAATTGCAGCTTTTACTTGGTCAGAGAGAAAAAAGCACTGGCTTTAAAGAAAAGAAATGCAACTGTGACTTCTGCTCGTGACTCTCCTCTACCCCTAGCACTTTTCTGTCTTCTTGTTTCCATACAGAGGGAAGTTAGATGAAACCAGTTGAAAGCAGGGTGTGTCTTCCTCGCTATCATTGGCTATCTGAAGAGTTCATAGACCTGAAAAGGGAAATTCTAAAACTGGAATACTGCCTTAATCATACAATTCTATGCCAAGCATCCTCACAGGAGGAGCTGAGGAGAATCTTATTTTCATTAAAAGAAAAAAAAAAGCACATATTCCCTCCCCCTTTCTACGTGTGAAATCCCCTTGTTTCCTGGGAGCTTCTTGGAATTCAACATTGCAAGTTCCATGAATTTGATTGTAGACTATCTATAATTGGAAGTGAGCTTGTAAAGTCACAGAAGGACTGAAAGTATCTGCCAATCAATGAATCAAGATGTACAACTGGGATTTCCAAGATAAAGAAGAAGTTAATTTAGGTTTTTTGTGCTAAACTCTTCCAAATGGTTACTGGGGCTGTTTAATACAGAAATCTAGCCTTACTCATTTTCATTTTATTTTTTAAACCAGCTTCTTTAGAGACGCATTATACAGGACGCTAGACAGCCACCTAGCTGGGGTCATTTGATCCCAGCATCCTTTCCTGCCCATGGCAGGGGGTTGGACTAGATGATCTGCTTAGGTCCCTTCCGACCCTACCAACTATGAAACACAGCATTCCCATAAGATCAAGAAACCAAAGCTATTTTATATCAGGGACTGTTGAAAATGCTGAGAAAGGTCCTTTAAGTCCTAGAGTGTTCACTAAGACCAGAGCGAAACCTATTCAAATCATCAGCAGTACTCTGATGGCCCTCCAACCTCAGTCTTTCCCAAAGGAGGTGTATTTAGATGTTCAGGTTTAGATGCTCAACATTTTTTTTTCAAATGTCCAATTCCTATCACCGGACAGTTAACATAAAAGATATGCTCGCCTCTTCCCCCACAAAAAAAACCACTTGCTTCTTTCAATTCCAGTTAAAAAATGTCAGTTAATATGAATTAAGCCCATGTCTGTTTATAAAGGAAACACTGATAACACTTGTCAGTAGTATCATCAATAATTTGGTACCATCAATGATTTAAAGTCTTATTACGCTAGAAGTTTTTGCAGGCTTAATTAGAGGGTACAGTTAGTATAGCTGCCACCTCCTCCCATGTGTTCATGTATTAAGTGACATAGTTTATTCCAGTTCAGACTATGCTGGTATAATTGAGTACAGAGAGGGAGTTAGCTGTGTTAGTCTGAAGTCAGGCAGAAGGTAAATAAGATGCATAGACAGCTTAAGCTTTCATGAACTTGAGCTCACCTCATCTGATGCTGTCCACATTAGTTATATTCAAGTGAGCCATAATATGGAGAAAGTCCACATCTCATACCAGCATAACACTTCCTACCCTGGACCAGACCTTTAAATAACCAGAACCAAAATGGGTTAAAACAGCAAGCGATGATGGGACTGAAGGAACCCAAAGAGTCAAGGATTCCTTAATGTGTGTCATAGAAATCCAGAACTTTTCACTTTTTGCTTCATGTGAACTGCAGTGCCATCTTGTGCTCAACACTGAAAAAGCTATCCCTACATTGGTATGTTGGTAGTTGTCTTGATGTTTCTCTAAGGCTGCTAAACAACAATGCCATCTTTGTATTTGACTAAAGATAAAACCAAGATGTCCGAACCAATATTTGGAAAAATGCTAGTCGAACTCTCTCTCCAGTGAGTTAAAGAAATAAAACCTTCTTTAGAAGCTACAAGAACCATTTTCTTTAGCTGGAAATAAAAGCAGAGTAGGGGGAAAATAATTGCTCTGTTCCATTTTAACAAGACTGAACCTAAAGAATGTGAAACAGGGAGTGATATTAAATTAAAAAGGGATAAAGAGGTGAAAAAAATGAGTATGAAGTACTGAAAGCAGATTTGAAAATAAGACAAGTAGGTCTGTGAATTGTAACACTTTGGATTATTAACAGTCCTTCATTTGGATTCATGCTCTGCATTTTCCCATTACTCCAACAGTTAAGAGACAACCTCTAAACAAAAGGGAATAAGTCCAAGCCATTAGAGACCAACTTATTTTGCTATCCTGAAGTCAAAGTCTACCATAGCAACAAGTGGTCGAGTGTACATATAGGGTGTGTCTACATGAGATGCTTCACTAAGCTGTAGACTAATCTACTTCTCAGTAAAGCATCACTGTCTACATGTGCACACATTTAGTGTGCAGTAATTTAGTCTACTGCACTGTCACATACTATCTTTAAATACAGGTAGCAAACTAGCTGTGCGGTAAATACTGCATGGTAGCACATGTGTAGTTGCTGACTGGGAGCAAATTTCCTCCTGGTCAGCCCCAACACTAGGGGGCCACGGGGGACAGGGAACTCTCCCAGTCCTGGAGCTACTCATCTCCCGGCTCCTCCAGGAGTTGAGAGCCGATCAATACTAGGATGGGGTAGCTCTCTGCCCCTGCCCCCCTTCTCACCCCATGTGTCCCAGCACTGCTTAACTTCCGGCTTCCCACAGGAGCTGGGAACTGATCAGTGCCAGGACTCGGGAGCCCTCTGCTTCTCCATCCAGCCCAGGGCTGGCTGGGAACTGTCCCACTTCTGGGCAGCTCCCAGCCAGCTCTGAGCTGCACAGGGATTTCACCACACAGCTCGAAGCTAGATGGGAGCTGCCCCAGAAAGAACAGTTCCCATTCAGCCCCAGGCTACTCAGGGAAAACCTCATGCAGCCCAGAGCTGGCTGGGAGCTGCTTCAGAAGGGACTGCTCTGAGACAGCTCCCAGCTATGTGGGAAAGCCCCACTGGGCTTAGGGCTTGTCCCCACATACCTGGGACCAGGAGAGCTCTGCACCAGCAGCTGTCTCCCAGCCCCCTGCACATCAGGACCCCTTCCAATTTGCATGGGGCTAGGAGACAGATGCAGTTGCAGCTGACAGAGCTCTCTGGGCCCTGTGCACATGGGGCCCTGTGCTCTCTGGGCTCTCATGAGCTCTCTGGGCCCTGTGCACACCATGCTCCATGCCAGCCCCCAGGCTAGCACCTAGGGGGAGTCTGGAGCTCCCTCTGGCTGCTGAAGGAGGCCAGAGCAGGGTTGGATCCACCCTGTACCACCAGGCTGTTCCCTTTGGGACCAGATTTGGTCCCAATAAAGAGCATGTGTAGATGTGTGCCCTGAGAAGGCTTACTATGCAGTAAGCCTTTATAGCATTAATTGCCTGTGCAGATGTGTCCACAGAGAACAAAACCCTTTGGTCTCTTTTCTTCCCCTAAATCACTCCAGGCAATGCTGGCCAATTCCCCAAAAAAGAGATGGACCTCACACTTTGAGGATTCCATTTTTAACTTATTGAAAAGACTGATGGTCAAGCAATAGTCACAAAGTCAACTCTGAGAATTTGGAAGGGAAAGAAAAAACAAAAGAAACACATCATTTCCCTGAAGCATGGTGCTTCAGGGAAGGCCTAAACATTTTATCCACTTAAGCAAATTCAGTTAGTTCATCATCATAGGAGATCATTAATAATATAAGAATTTATTAAAGAAAAGATTTCTTATTCATGGACTCAGTTTGCCATAACTTGTCAAAGGACAGAAGTAGCAGAATTATTAATAGTTTCTGGCTGCTAATTTCAGTCAGCTTGTAATATAGGCATTTCCCACAGGAAAGGTTATGTTAAAAAAAAAACAAAACTCAACCCCCCAGCTATAAATAGAAAGTGTAATATTAAATATATTCTTTATTCTAAAGAAAATCTCTCCCACCCTCACGCACACCCTTCCACAATCTAGGAACAAGCTGCTCAGGGAGTGAGTATTAGGGCTGTGCAAAGTTTTGCCAGCTGTTTCATTTTGACACTGTTTTGACTTGTTTCAAGTTCAAAACATCAAAATTTAAATGAAATGAAGGGCTTTGAAACACCCTCAAAATGAAATGAGGCCAGTCGAAATGTTTTGAATGTTTCAAAATGTTTTGAGTTTTGAAGCAGTATCCAGGTAGTGGGAGGCTGGGGAAAGCCAGGGTGGCACTCTGAGTGGCTCCACAGCTCCATGTGGCTCCACCCGGCAGCGAATGTAGCCCTGGCTCTCCCTGCCTCCCACCACCGGGCACCCAGGGCACTCCTATAGGAGCCAAGCCCTTACTGGCTCTGGTTTCCCCTTCCTGGGCCCTGCTCTGGGTACCAGGGCTCTTTTAGTTTAATGCTGAGCAACACTGCGGGGCTCCAGTTACTCAGCCTAGAGCCAGGGCTAACTTGAGCAGCCTCGAGCTGCTCCCAGGACCAGATCTCCACACACCGATCCACACACTACCTACCCAGTGACTTGCCTGGTTCACAGGCTCAGGTCACCTCAAGCAGCATCCAGAGCCTGAGCACTGTGTGCTGATCCGTGCACCATCGAGGCTCGGGTGGGGTCCTGAGGATGGTCTTCTCTGAAGCTCCTCTCTCCTCACCATCCCTCGCCGCGTCTGCCCCCCAGCATGCCAAGCATGCTTTCCTTTTATACTCTTCAGGGGCTCTTCCCCTGAAGTCTGGTGGACCTGCTGTGCCGCAGTCCACGGTCCGGTCAGGGAGCTCCTCTCCTCCTCCCCTCAGGACAGGGGCAGTGCCTGCTTTCCCCAGCTTGTTCCTGATTGGAGGATTAGCTCCACCAATTGAAATTGAGGATTCTCGAGCCTCTGGATGCATTGCAGCTTGAGCGGGTAAGTGTGTCACATTAGCTTGATTGATCCTGACCCAATCCAGTCCTCATCCACTCCTCTAAGAGATTTTGTGGGAAAAGAACCTCAAACTTTAAAATACAGTTTTACACATTCAACTGGAAGAGAGTTACCTCCACAGCCCCGTATGAGTACCCCTAGGAAAAACAAGCAAGTTTTTGTTACTACTACCTGTGGTAACTTTAGCCGTGTCCAGACAAGCACAGACATGCGGTATGTGGCACCTCAGACCTGTCTGTGACACCACACACTGTACATGCCGGCATTCACCGCACTGCTACCATGCAGCACAGGGAGTTTGACCCCAGGGTCAAAAAAGCCATGCCAAAAAAAAAGCGGTGTGGTACACATGGAAGCAGTGCATGCAACCCAAAACCAAAGCCTGGCCAGCAGGAGCCATGCTCTGGCTGCCAGCCAGGCTCTCAGCTGCAGGAGTGCCAGGACAGCAGCTGCCCAAGTCCCCCAGGATCTCAAGTGAGGCTGCTGGGACCAGCACAGTTGCTGACTCCAGCCTCCCCTACCTGACTTGGGGTAACCTGCTGCATGCCAGAGGGTGCATGGTATGGGCATTCCCTGGCCATCACCAATCTTTGTCAACAATAGTCTCAAAACAATCCTGCTGGTTTCAGGGGCAGATCCAGACAGGGTGGAGTAGCATGGATGCACCCCACTTTCCAACCATGTGGCAGGAGCACCAGCTGGGGATTTTCTGAAGTCCTTCCAAAAGATAAGAATCCCATCCCCCCCACAGCCCCTATCTCTTGGCATACCCTCCTGCCTCAGCAGTGTGCACGTCCCCTTCCCCCACCTACTGACACTGACCCTGGCTGGTCTGGGAAGAGGGGAGGCTCCAGAAGTACTCCTGCCCTGCTCCAGCTGCAAACAGTAGCAGTGCTGAGTGGCTCTTCCTCTCTACCCATTCCCACCCTGGTGTTTCAAACCAGCCCAGGAGTACAAATGGGCTGGATGACCTTCCCCCCACCCCGCCCCGCTATCCTCCCCCTGCCAAGCCCAGCTGCAGTGGTTTTGGAGCCCTCCTCCCACAATCCTCCCAAACCACAACCTGGAGGGGAGGGGAGAGGAGGGAAAAATGGACAGGGAGGAGAAACTCACCTGCTGCCACTGCTGTTCCCAGCTGAAACAGAGCAGAAGCAGCACTTGAGCACTTTCTTCTGGTCTTGGATCAGCCGGGGAAAGCAGAGCAGTGAGGAGGAGAATGGGAAGAGAGGGGAGGAGACATACTACTGAGAAAGAGATCAGATGCCAAGAGCAGGGAAATGGGAGTCTTACATTTCAAGGCACTTCAGAAAAAAGGCCCATTGCTGTTTCCACAGTGAGGTCTGCCTTGTCCTGTGGCACATGGGTGGAGCTGGGAGCAGGGGTACATCACTCCTGGAACGCTGGTCTCTGTTTCTTCACCCTCTTTTACAAAATCCTGGATCTGTCCATGGCTGGTTTTCTCCAGCCGGGAAGAAAGAGGTCAGATTTTCAGAAAATTGTTGATTTTAGCACTGCCATTTTGGCAAAACTGGATGAAACCAGAGGGTGGTTTTCTTTGGGAGGGGAGGAAGAGGAGGATTGTTTTTAGTAGCCTTGTGTTTCTCTGTTGCTTCTGGAGGATGAACCAAATCTACTTGGATCAGTTTATGGATTTTTCTTCTTAGCCAATAAATTCCACCTCTATTTAATAATGTTTTTAGGAGTATATGCCAAAGCCTTTTACAGAAAGTCAGCATCATTGTTCAAATTATATGGATCGGCATGGTGAAAGAGTGACTTGCTGAAAGCCATCCTTCTTGACAGTGATACAGCCAGAACTAGAATCTCATTTCATTGTTCAATCCATTAGACATGCTCCTTTACATCAGGGGAAAATGTCTCTAACCTACATACTGTACACTGGCTATTTTTTGGATGAGATTTCATTGATTCAATAGCAGGGGAAATTAATGACTTTGTTTCAATCATAGCTAAGGTACAAGAAACTCAAAATGTCTTTGTGCTAATGATACAATTCAGAAGGCAGTTTCTACCACAAGTGTCCCAGTTTCCTCCCTTTTTACTTCATCAGAAAGGCAAAGGTCATCTCTAATTCATGGTAACCTACAATGAAAATGGAAAAGTCAAAGGACATCTAAGCAACAGTTTGTATTTTTCTGGGTAAAATGTCATTTCACAAAAAGTGTACCAACAGAATGGTTTAAGACACCTGGGCCTGATCTTTTTGGGGAAGTCTATCAGGAAAAGCTCTAGAAATCAGAAACAGAGAGGAGAAACTCTAACTTGTCATGGTCAGATCACTTCTTCCAAGCTAATTTATTACTACAAATAGGGTACCTAACTAATGTTGTTGTAGAATCCACTCTTAACTGCAGTGTGTTACAGAATTAAAGCTAAATTCATAAAAAACATGCACACAATTGCACACTACCTCTTGTAGTTGTGAAGGACTCTTTAGGGATGTAAAAAGATTGTTTCCCTGAATGTGCAAACTGCTTGAAAAACAAATTTTGAAAACAAGCAGCAGTTCACAACTTTCAGTACTTAGCATAGGTTCTGTGGATATGAATGCTTCTCCCTCACCTCTTCCCTGTCCAGCTAACTCCATTGCAGAGGAATCCTTGAAAGAGGTTCTGCCCTTTAACAACTTATGGCCGTTATTCCTTGTTACTCCGGGAGGCGCTCCGGGGAACAAGGTCTCTCTCATTCCCTGCTGGCCCCCCCTTGTAATTTTATAGACAGCCACCAGGTCCCCTCTCAGCCTTCTCTTGTGGAGGCTGAACAGGTTCAGGTCCCGTAGCCTTTCCTCGTAGGGCCTGCCCTGCTGCCCCCTGACCATGCAAGTGGCCCTCCTTTGGATACTCTCAATGCTGTCCACACCCCTCCTGAAATTTGGCTCCCAGAACTGGATGCAGTACTCCAACTGTGGCCTGACCAGTGTCGCATAGAGGGGGAGGTTCACCTCCTTGGACCTGCTTATGATGCATCTGTGGATTCACAACAAGGTGCGGTTAGCCCTACTGACCGTGTCCTTGCATTGGTGGCCCATGTTCATCTTGGAATTGATAATAACTCCAAGATCTCTATCTGCCACTGTGCTTTCAAGAAGAGAGTTCCCCAGCCTATAGGTATGCTGCTGGTTCTTACTTCCCAAGTGCAGCACCATGCACTTGTCAATATTGAATCCCATCCTATTCTCATTTGCCCACCCCTGTAACCTGTCCAGGTCCAGCTGTATCCTGTCCCTCCCTTCTAGCGTGCCCACCTCAGACCAAATCTTGGTGTCATCCACCAATTTAAACAGGGTGCTTTTCATCCCTTTGTCCAAGTCGCTAATAAAGAAGTTGAACAGTGTGGGCCTGAGGACCGAGCCCTGGGGGACTCCACTGCTCACATCCCTTCAGGTTGAAAATGACCCATGCACCCAGAACTGGATGCAGTACTCCAGCTGCAGCCTGACCA